TCTATTGAAACTGGCTGGTTGCTGAAACTTTCCAAAACACGACAATGTGAAAAATAAATACTCTGGATAATGTCTAAACTGGACTATTGAATTTATTAAAGATACAACATTAGTTTGGCTTCATCCAGCGTCCATCGTTGGGACAGTGGTAAGTTTACGGACTAACAACGCTAAAATCCGGAGTTAGATTCCCCGCGGTTAACACAACCGATGACCCAAAGTGACTTTGCTTCAAGACAAAAAAAAACAAGCTTCCACCAGCTTAATTTCTTCCTCTCTTTTCAATGTAATTCTGACCAAAAGTTCTGCCTGAAATAATTTCTTTATGCGAGAAAATCACAGACATAAAAACTTTTACTGTGCTGAGTTCTGTTCTTGCTCAGTATTTGATGATGTACTCTCAAACACCTACAACATTTCTAACTGGCCACATTACCTAGGTCACGTGCTCTCACACGTTTTTATTTCGGAACCACATTGGTGAGGATGAGGGTTTAAAAGTACCCTTCTGTGTAGCTTCGGCGAAAAAATGCTTTTCCTCTAGCCCAATCAGCCGGTGAAGACGAAACGTCTTTCTTTGGATATATGAGTATATAAAATAAGGGGTAGAAACGTCTTTCTTTGGATATATGAGTATATAATAAAACAAGGGGTAGAAACGTCTTTCTTTGGATATATGAGTATATAAAACAAGGGGTAGAAACGTCTTTCTTTGGATATATGAGTATATAAAACAAGGGGTAGAAACGTCTTTCTTTGGATATATGAGTATATAAAACAAGGGGTAGAAACGTCTTTCTTTGGGTATATGAGTATATAAAACAAGGGGTAGAAACGTCTTTCTTTGGGTATATGAGTATATAAAATAAGGGGTAGAAACGTCTTTCTTTGGATATATGAGTATATAAAACAAGGGGTAGAAACGTCTTTCTTTGGATATATGAGTATATAAAACAAGGGGTAGAAACGTCTTTCTTTGGATATATGAGTATATAAAACAAGGGGTAGAAACGTCTTTCTTTGGATATATGAGTATATAAAACAAGGGGTAATCCTCAGTAGTCGCTGCACTTTAAATTCTTTTAGGCAGGATTAGAGCAAACAAATCCACGAGACTTTTTTTTTTCAATTTTATTAGCTATATTTTTGTGTGCCAGCAATACCAAGCGTGGGGCGCACGTATACCTCATTCGATTTTATTACTCATCGGAATCTCTACTAGCCTACCCTCAAATTAAAATTATTTTAGGCAGGAGATTAGAATAAATTAATCTCTGAGACCTTGGGCTTGATCAAGTACATCAGTCGAAAGGGTTTGATCTCCTGAGTCGAAAACTGTAATTAGATCTCAAATCAGTCAAGAGATGACGGAGCTATGAGCTAAAAGTTTGTACTTGTAAAAACAAACAAAAAACTCAGAGCCGTTCTATGAGCCACTATGCCGCGGCTAAAAAAAACTCACAGAGACTTGTTGAGACCCGCAGTTTGAGACCCCCTGACGTAGGTAACATTAACTGCTTGACTCCCAACAACTATATTAATTTAGTCGAAAGTGTATTGTTTAGTTATTCACGATTCCATGTTGTATACAGACTAAGTTGGAAACTCTGTAACTAAATAGAAGGAGTTAACAAAAAACAAATAATAAAAGGTGTTAATTATCATTTTGTATTTTTTTTTGTATTATTTTTCTTTGAATGTATAACTCACATAGGTGGTTTGCGTTTGTTGTTAGGCCTAAGTAATGGAATATAAAGTTTTAAATCTGTAAATTAAGAAATGCTAATGCGTTTTAAGTTTCCTAATAATTTTGTTCACTGTCAATTAAATGGAGCGCAACAGTTGTAACACAAAAAAAATCCAGCGACATTAGTACTATGTTAGATTCCATAACAAAGTGTTATTATTGCTTCACTTCCGGCCACAATGACATCACTTCCTAGATTAATGTTCACTAGCTGTTTTCACCTGCCAACAAACAATCTGAGGAACACAATATCTCGCCAATGGTTTGTTTGTTTGTTGTTAAGCACAATGCTGACCAACAGGTTATCTGTGTTGTGCTCACCAATGGTATGGAAACTTGGTTTTTAGCGTTATAATATAGCCTTCAGACTTACCGCTGAGATACTGGAAAGCCCCGCTAATGGTTTCTTATGGAAATGATTTCCAGCAAGTGGTGTCATAAAATATATATTTTTTATAGGCTTTCAGAATTTTTCTTTTATTTGAAATTCAAAACATTTTAGCATGTAGAAGTCAAAATATTCTGTTAAAAATGTAAAATATATAAAGCTTTTAGTAATCATGAGTACTTGTCTGACGTTCAAGAAAAAAGACAAAACAAAGAAAGAAGAAATTCAAACAAAATTTATTCAACTCATAGAATTAATCGAATATTTGTATATATATATATATATATATATATGAATACATACACTAAACTATATCAAATATAAACAAATAAAGAGCCCTTTACGTGAGGTAATTAAGGTCCTGTACACGTGGTTATGATACCATGCAAACACTAGAATCAGCCAATGAGAAATAAATAAGCCACAAATATCCACAAAGGCACACATTACACCTAGAAATAAAACTGTGCTATACGCGGGGGTGTAGGGGGGGGGGGCTTCTCCCATTAAACCCATATCTTATGCACATTGGTTTTAGTTATTTTCTATATGTGTTCGTATATTTTAAATATTTAATGTATATGTTTGAGTTATGTAAGTAATTTGTTTAAAATAACTGTTTATTCAAACTGGGATTGGTTGAAATGTGCCAATTATTTAGATAGTATAAAAAAACAACTCGTTAGTTAATGTTTTTGCTTCTTTTTCTTGCACTTTGTCTGGATTTTAAGCTGGGTTTTACATCATTATATGCATCACTTTCTCTGGATTTTAATCTGAGGTTTTATATCATTATATGCATCACTTTGTTTGGATTTTAATCTGGTATTTTACATCATTATGTACAACACTTTGTCTGGATTTTAAGCTGGGTTTTACATCATTTGTCTGGATTTTAAGCTGGGTTTTACATCATTATATGCATCACTTTGTTTGGATTTTAATCTGGAATTTACATCATTATATGCATCACTTTGTTTAGATATTAATCTGAGGTTTTACATCATTATATGCATCACTTTCCCTGGATTTTAATCTGGGTTTTACATCATTATATGCATCACTTTCTCTGGATTTTAATCTGAGGTTTTACATCATTATACGCACATTGTTCTTGGACTTTAGCATGGGTTTCATGTCCACAATAGTTACTATTGTCAACTTTCATGTTCTTGTTTTAAATTTTAGTTTCAAAAGACTATAACATGTAGGTATGTGTTGTTTTTTTTCTCGGTAAAAAATTATATAAGAACTATAAAGCGAAACTGTGTGTAGCCAGTCCTCGTAACGTGGATTCCAACTGAAATTTCAGTCAAAGTTCTTTTCAAAGTTTAACAAATCTATAATGCAAGGCACGCGACTACAAGTTAAGAATGAACACTGATTTGACGTTTGTATTACCTCAAGTGTTATATGTATGTATCACAAACATGTGTGTGTTTGTATATATGTGTACATGTAGTAAAGTTAAGTTAAAAAAACAACACGACATTAGTTTCCACAATAGCATGAAAGTTTCACTCTACGACTACACAAACGTTATGAATAATTGGAACTAATTAAACCAGCAAGGGGAATACGGCATGGATTTTATCTTTTCTCTATCACACACAACAAAAGTTGGATGTATTAGAACACATCACCAAAGATTATAGTGGCTGGAAAAAAATATCAGTAGATATAATGATATCCGTCAAAAAACAAACACAAACACTAGCACGATATGACGTTCTGTTTGTTTCAGTTCTTAATTGTTTAGGCTGGTTTCTACTTCTTAATTTGTGCAAAAGACACATCCCCTGGTATTTAGTATCTCATAGTCGGCCCAGAATTACACTCTTGTTTCAGACACAGCATCACCGAATTTCTTACATTAAACACTGGCTTTCCTTGTGGCTATACTAGTTGTGTTGATATAACAACCACTCCATAATGTTGTCCTATAGTTTTGGCTTTCCTTGTGTCTATACTAGCTGTGTTGATATAACAACCACTCCATACTCTTGTCCTATAGTTCTGGTTTTCCTTGTGTCTATACTAGTTGGTGTTGATATAACAACCACTCCATACTGTTGTCCTATAGTTCTGGCTTTCCTTGTGTATATACTAGCTGTGTTGATATATCAACCACCCCCATACTGTTGTCCTATAGTTCTGGCTTTCCTTGTGTATATACTAGCTGTGTTGATATATCAACCACCCCCTACTGTTGTCTTATAGTTCTGGCTTTCCTTGTGGCTATACTAGCTGTGTTGATATAACAACCACTCCATACTGTTGTCTTATAGTTCTGGCTTTCCTTGTGGCTATACTAGCTGTGT